CACGCGCAAAATGCAATCTTTGCCTTCTATGGTCTCTGGTCAACAATGGGCCAATTGGTGCCCTTCCAGGATGTAGGTCGTTTTCTGCAAGTCTTCTTCTAATCGTATTTTGGCTGATTCTAAAGTCATAACGATCCAAAAAATTCATTTTGTAGAGAAGTACTGATAACAAATCTTTGTCTCAGTGTACGAAGTGTCAAAACCGGTCTTGATTAGGAGTTGTAACCCTTCTACGGCCTTGACCGGGTCTTCACGAGTTACTTCCAGTAACAGAAAAACGTGTTAACACTCTGAAATGGTTGACTGGGTGACGTTAAAAACGTTCAGCGAGTTCTACTTGAGTGTATCCTTCTTCGCGAAGAGTAACGATTCTAAAACAGTCACTTTCTGACAAATTTCGATTTTCTTGCTGCTGGTGGTTCATTTCAAAGAAATAACACTTAATAAACTTGAAAAACCCCTTGAAACGTTCAGCACAACGTAATCCAACTCAACTAAATTCGAAATAAGATGAAGCACAATTAGCATGTTTTTAATTTTTTTGCAAAAAATGGTAAAAACATCAGCGCTTTTTACCGTTATTTCGATTAATTTTGACATGCTTGAAAAAAAAATAACTTTTACTCGTCCCACTGTCTTGCAGATGTGACGCTATCGATATATTTTTTTAATAGAATGGGCATATTTTTATGTAAACTTCAGTATACAGAGTGTAAAGGAAATCTCATATTTATTAACATTTGATTCAAAATTTATTTTACAAAGAAAATTAAGAAGTCATTTCATATTAAAAACAAACAAATAACATAATTACAACAAATGCTGGAATGGAATGGCCTATTGTACGATATAGAAGGTAGATTGTTTATCTATCAAAGATAACCAATTCCATTCAAATGATAATGGCTTTGTAATGGGCTGTAGATCAACAATACAATAAAATAAAGTGGTAACGACTGTACTCAGTATATTCAAAAAATCAAGTATGCTGTGAAGACATGTCAAATTCCTTAGCAACCTGACAGTAAGTTCGTAGTTACCATTGGATGTCAATATTAAATTGATTTGTTGTGTCACGATTTAGAAGTCTGCACTAGTATGTGTTCGAGAAACATTACCCTAATAGAAATTATTTGAAAGGTTGAGTTTACCGAAAGTACAAGCTGAATATAGCCGCAAATGTCAAAAATATTTCGGCTTGGCAGTGTTGGCATGTTTTTATAATGCATATATTGTATGCTTCAAATAAATGTAGATAAAGCTTTTAAAAAGTACATTTTGAATATACTATTTTATGAATTCTAATTTATATGAAGCAGTAACGAGTAGATATTTGTCTCTTTCGAGATTAATTGCAAACATCTGTTGTAATCTGGCAACTGCTGATTTGACGATTGCCAAATCTATCCCCTAATCTACCAAGGGGTAATTGCTAAAAAAATTTCTAATAATTAACTGCAATTAATCTCCAAAGAAACAAATATTTACTCATTGTTGTTTTATATAAATCAAAATTTGCAGAGTGCATAACATAACATAAACAAAATGTACTTTTCTAAAGCTTTATATTTTTATATTTGAAACATACAGCATCTACATTATAAAAACATGCCAACACTGCTATAACGAAATTTTTTGTTCCATGTTTGACATTTGCGGCTATATTCAGCTTGTATTTTCGGTAAACTCAACCTATTTGAAATTAGGATGGTGCTATCAGAAAAATAGCGAATAGAAGTTTTGATGATCTTAGGTTACGGCAATTGTAGAAGAAGTATGGCAGAGTATGCGATATTTTTAATGAAAAATATCCTGATCAAGTACCAAAAAGTAAAGCGACGGTAAGCAAAATATTGCATAAATTTAATGATATTGGCAATGTTAGAGATAAGCTCATGAGTGGCAGACCTCTGTTGCATTGCTTCCGACGAGTATCAATTAAATGTATTACTTGAAATTGAAGAAAATCCTCATTCTTAAATACAACTTTATCAACTACCAATGAGATCTGTCGCGATCCTGTTCATAAAATTCTAAAAAAGGCCAAATTACATCCATATAAAATTAAACTAAACTTTAATGCATGGAGTTTTGCGAAAATATGCAAGAATTGTGTAACCGAAATAATGGATCTGAATATAATATCTTGTTTTCCGACGAGGCCACTTTTTGTTTAAATGGTACCGTTAATAGGCAAAATTGTCGTTATTGGGCAACAGAAAATTCCAATTAGACATTTGCAGTTGTCTATCTATATCCAATAGCCCCAAAAAATAAATGTATGGGCTGGGATTGTTAAGAATACCATTGTGGGGCCGTATTTTTTGGCGGTACTATGACGGGTGAAAGATATTTAGAGATATTGCAAACCTATGTAGTTCAATTTTTAACCGCAACATTTTCAGATATCAATAATCCTGGTCAAATATATCCTACCATTTGGTTTCGTCAGGATGGAGCAAGTCCACATTATGCTGTAATGGACAGAACTTTTCTAAATGCAAGTTTTCGTCATCACTGGATTGGACGACGCTGCCACATTGAATGGCCTGCTAGGTCGCCGGATTTGAATCCCAAGGACTTTTCTATTTGGGGTTATTTGAAGAGTAAGGTATATGTAAACCGACCTACCAATTTGGTAGACCTCAAACAGAGAATTCGTGCTAAAATGCAACAAAATTACACCAATGATGTTGTCAAACAGAACCCAAGAATTCATTGGACGTCTTGGATACTGTCAATCAAAAACCAAGGAGCTTAATTCGAGCATGTGTTGGAATTATGTTATTTGTTTGTCTTGAATATGAGGTGACTTCATTAATAATTTTCTTTGTCAAATAAATTTTGAATTAAATTTTAAGAAATACGAGCACTGGTTTCCTCTGTATACTCTGTATACTGAAGTTTGAATGTCATGAGTTTAGTACGGTTGTACTCAGAAAATATGGGCATTTAATTTTTTAGATCAACTATGCACTTTATACACTTTATATTTAAAAAAAATATCGTTGACCGTAAAGTAAAAGTTTTTTTTTTTTTTTTTTTTTTTTTTTTTTTTTTTTTTTTTTTTTTTTTTTTTTTTTTTTTTCAAAAAGGTTAAAAAATAAAAATAGACTGTCAGAGCTTTAACTCTGAAAATAATTAAGTTATGTGATAATAGACCGTTTCCATAGTTTGTGAATCTACTGTGTATGCCCATGGCTTCTATTTTCTTTACTATTTTTTTCCACTCAGCTCTGTTTTTCGTCTTTTCCTCCAGTGCGGTATTCTTAATTTTCTTACATCGATTTTAACCTCTTGTTATTCCTCCTGTTAATACTTTTTTGCATGTCTGTTTGTGGACATCCTATAAATATGTCCCATCCAACGTGCTCTTTGTGCTTTTACTTTTTGTATGATGCTTGGTTGTAGAGCGTCATTACTTGCATATTGTTTCTTCTTCTCCATACGCCCTCATTATCCTTTGTCCTCCATATAACTTGCGTAATATCTTTATTTCCCATCATTTTAATTTCTGTGTATTTTTCTGACTTAACACTTAGTTTCTAATTAATTATTTTTCTATTTCACTATATTCTGCTCTATTTGTAATCGTGACTCCAAGGTATTCGAATTGATCCACTTTTTCAAATCAATATTCTGTAATTCCGCTACTTATTCTGCGCTCCATACTTTTTTCAATTATTTTAGGTTCCGTCTTTGTATTTTGTTGGCTCTGGTACTCAGTTGTTCACATTAATGCTATCAGAATATATAGTTTTTTATTTGTCTCGTTACTTAGCATATCCGTGTTCGGTTTTTTAAGACTCTTTTTTAAGTTTTTTTAGCCGAACTTATATATCTATGTGGGTGTGTGAAGTTGTGATATACTACGGGGTTGTGATTTGAGTAAGTTTTTATACTACGGATACTGATTTCTAACTGGCTGATCTTGCTTATAATATTCTGCATTTTGGTAGTTTGAGTGGCATCAGTTTGTTGTTGTCTCCTCTATTAGCGTTTTGTCTATTCTGTCACTATCAGTTGCATTTTTAATGTTTTCACATTTTCCTTGTTTTGCTTTTAGTTTTATTGTAGGTATTTGTTTTAGACTTTCACGATTCGTAATTACCTGAATTCTTCGCCCTATTAAATAGCCGTATTGTGATTTTTTCTGTTTCAATCAAGTAGCTTGTCTTGTCGAGCTATATTCTATTAGAGCGCAGGTCTCATTATATGAGGCGATAGTTGCAATTGACTGTCAGCTCTACCTCTAAACCCTAATTGTAGTAACTGGTATAGCCATAATTAACTCACATTCCCTACCGCGTCTATGTTGCCTTTATTATTTTCTGGCATAGTAGGACAACGAATTTTTTTGGTGCAAGTTGACCTGCATGTTCATATGGATGTTCAGTTCATATTTTTCTTCCGAAACCCGTTGAGATTATGTGCCTCCAATGGACCATTCGTTACAGTTCGTATTTTTAAATACGCGGCTGGTTTAGGTACGCCATTATCTTGCGTGTTTTGATGGTCTTTGCAGTTACCTTGCTGCCCTGTGGGTCCTCCGATAGCAGTAGATCCCATTACCACATCAAAGTGGAATATCACAATATAGTACAAACAAGTACTTTATTAGTACTCTCAACTTAGTTTTTTTCTCAAGAATCTGGATGTTCACTTTTGCGTACTATTAGTAACAGACATGGTTGCGGTATGATGATTTTACAGAATGGTAAATACAATTTTCTGCAATTCGTACCATCTTTGTTACAGTACCTAGTTATTAAACAATCATTGTAGGAGGTATTCTTGTTATTTGTTTTTGTTTAGTGAACTTTTGATATAGCTTTCGTTTAAATTTGTTAACTATTTTAATGGCTAATTAACAAACTTTTTAATTGATAGTTTTTAATTTTGCCGATGTATAATTTTTACTGCACTTATTATTTATTTATACAAACTTCACACATTAAATATTCTAGTTCTAAAAATTAACACTATCTTTTTTTCCATAGGGAAACCTTCACAAACATTTAACTTCACTCGTTCAACATCATCATCTCGTTTTGGCGATTTTCCTTTGTTACAAGAGAAATCGTTGCATTATAATAATAGTCTGTATGGATCTTCAAGCACTACACAAACATCGCCTCGTTTTCCTATTGGTACTTTTTCTATAGATAGTACCAATAACGTCTTCAACAGCAGCGGCGACAATTCTTTGAACAACACCAACATCTTCTCAAATGGCAATAACAGTAGTAGTAGCTACAACAATGACTCATCTAACTCTTCAAATTTAGGTACTAGAGAAACTGGAATCATTGAAAAGTTATTGGTAAGTAAAACTTCGAATATCTCGGATGTAATTCACCATTGTTTAAAAACGTGAATAAGTATTATTAAACATTATGGTTTTTTAAGTCGATGTTCGCAGTGTATGGATCAATTATTTTGCATATAATTTTCAATTATTAAACTACTGGCCAACTACCACCTCAGTAACATAAGGGGAGTATTCGTGTCCTTTGGGAACTGTACTCACGCGAGACGACGCAGTCGTTCAACTTCGGTGTTCCGAAAAAAAACAAAGAAGACCTGCAGCTATTTTGTATAATTTTACTAATACATGATTGTATACTCCATTCCACGACTATACGACTGTTTTAAATTTTGTTTAAGGTATCGATTTAAATGGTCCAAGGTACTGAATTGTACAATAGTAAATTCTCCCCATTTTTAAAATACTGTTATGACAGATATAAACTTTAGATTTAAATATGAAGTCATGATATAAATATGTTTATAGAACAGTTTTAATTCAGATTTTGAAGTATATAATTACTATCATTGAGTTTAGTATTGTAAACAAGTTGGTTTTTGAATTAAGTGATTAAATGAAGTGTACCAATACTTAGGTGATTAATATTCAATTAGTATTAAAAAAACAAAAAAACTTACTTATTTTCTAATTCTCCTAACCTCCTAAAACTATCATCAACCATCAGATTCACAGAACTTTACAATGAGAAAGTACATTAAATATAAAGTTGTCTATATCTAAAAACGTCCCGGCATTTTTGGCTTCAACAAACAAATACACTACACGAAACTCTCTCTTAACGGCACCTCTCTTCACCGGACACCTCTATACGGATGGTTTTTAAAACTAAAATCAGTCGGCGATATAATATGAAACTGTATGTAAATTTTCGTTACTTTTTAATCTGTAACGACTCGGTACTTTCACTATAAATAGCTAGTATGTTATACCCGTTACTTTCGGAACTTTTAAGAGTACATCCACGCAAAGCAAACAAATATTTAAAACTAACAAAGTGAAATATTAGATTCTTTTTCTGGTTTCTGAACCATCGTTCTGCCAATTTCTTTTTATTTATATTAAAAATAGTATATTTCTTTTATTACAGTTGCAGTACCTAATAAAGTAATAAAATAGTGTAATATCAAAGAAACCCGGCACGCCTTTTTGGTGTATACATTTCACGGAAACCCAACCCAAATGTCTTATGAACACATTTTGGCTTTATAGACGTCATTGTATTTATTTGTAGGACCGTTAAAGTTTTGTTATTTTCGGATTAAATTTCACAATAAATTTGGCGTCTATCTGAACATCTATTAACTGAAATAATTTTAGTTTAAGTGTCAAACTTACAGTAGATCTATTTTATTGGAATACTGTTTAGACCAATTTACTTTCAAACTTCTACTTGCACTGTAAAATATTCGTTGTCGCAATAATCCAAAACAGTAGTAGATTCGTGGAATAACCTATATAGGACAAGGCAAAAAATTCAATTCACATAAAAATCAATTTATTTTTAGATTTGCCTACAAAGATCAACAATTTCTATATAGGGTGTTTCATTAAAGGTACGTCTAAAGGAGTAATATTTTTACTGCAATATGTGGCTGCAACACAGTATGTGGTAATATTACCAACAATAACCACAGCCAATAACAGCCACATAGTTTTGGTATCACCAGTATTATTTTACAATAGTTGTCTGACAACTAGGAAAACAATGCGAAGTTTTAAATTCCATAAAAATCAGGAAATTGGAATACTTGGGGCACATCATGAGAGGTGAAAAGTACGAACTACTAAGGAATATAATGCAGGGTAAAATCAAAGGTAGAAGAACCGTAGGAAAACGTAAAATCTCGTGGCTACGCAATCTCCGTGAATGGTTTGGATGCAGTTCAATTGAACTATTCAGGCGAGTATCCAATAAAATTATAATTGCCAGAATAATTTCCAATCTCCGATAGGAGTGGAACTTGAAGAAGAAGAAGAAGAAGTTGTCTGACGATCGCTTGGCGAGCAATAATACTTGCAATATTCACTTTGTTTTGGTAATTATTTGTTATTTTGGAGGAATAAAAATTACCAACAATTGGTCCAATGATAGGATTTTATATTTTATTAACGGAATACATTTACACTTGAGAACTTACCAAAAAAAATGAGGAAAAAAAAGATTAAAAGTGGTAGTACCGGTGATAAATCAGTGAAACAGTTTGCTTTCGATACAATGGTTTATTTTTTATTTGATATCTTTGAAAAGTTTTTAAATGGTTATTGATCGTCAACAACACTTTCCTGAAAACCTAACTATTGCGATGTGCCAAGTAGTCTCCTCTATGATATATCTTCGAGCTCTAGTTAACAACACAGGCAGTTGTAAACCCAAAATTCAAAGACGTATACAACTCTCAAGAGCAACAATTACTGAACTATCCTGGGTATGGCATGATTGTCACATTACTATGACAAACAAGAAGAGACTCGTTTTAACTCTGGTCTTTTCCATATTTTACTATGCGAGACATGGACAGTCAATGAATCAGATAGATGACGCATAGACGCTTTTGAAATGTGGTCATGGAGACGACTGCTTCGAAATGCATGAACGGTTCACCGCACGACTATCTCGGTTCTAGATGGAATTAAACCCAATCAGCGTCTCTATAGTACTGTTTACTGTAGGATTTTAAAGTTCTTTGATCGTATCCATCGAAGAGAGATCACAAAATCGAGCGGTTGGTGGTCCAAGGAAAGCCTCAGAGTTAACGCCAACGCGACAGACTATTCAATATTAAAATTATCTTAAAGTAATAAGTAGTTTTTATTCATTTGGTATGCACGGTTTCATTGGTGTGTGTTTGCCTATGATGGCAATTTTTGTCAACAATTCATCGAACCCCTTCACATTCTTGTAAAACGTTACATTCTTCTCATAAAACGTAGCAAAGAATGCACCCCAGTTGTTTTCTGGTGTGCTTAAAATATTTACGTTACGAGGTTTGTCCCTTTAGTTTTTCATATATCCGCTTAGAGGGCGCTACCATTAAAACCTGACCCAAATGTAACCTCAATCTTTTGTTGACATAAATCGAGAGTTTCATTGCTACACAATACACAATCGTGTAGATACAGTGGATTTTTTATTAGCAAGTAGGTCGAAAAATGGATCTTAGCCGAGAACATTTTCGAGCAATAATTTTTTACAATTTTCGGAGAGGATTATCCCAACAGAAATGTCTCGATGAAATGGTTTCTGTGTTTGGTAATGAAGCATCACACCAGTCAACTATTTCCCCCTGGTATTGAGAATTTCAACGGGGTCGCTCGTTGAAGCGACGAATCCAGGCTAGGTCTACCCAAAACAGCAGTCACACAGCAAAAAATTGATGCGGTTTGTCAGCTAATTAAGGATTAGCTGACAAACATTTTAAAGACCTTGATTCAAAAGATCCTACATGAAGAATTGGGTGTTACTGAGTTTTCCGTTGGTTCCCTTATTTGCTCACAGAAAAAAACAAAAAGCAGTTTGCCTCAATTGGTGTCGAAAAAAAATTGGAAATGTTCAACAAAGAAAGCTCAAAAACGTTTATAATATTGTTAGTGGCAATGAATCTTGGATTTATTCCTACGAACCGGAATATAAACGCCAATCCGCTGTGTGGGTGTTTCTCGATGAAGAAAAACCAACAAAAGTGATCCGTTCTCGAAGTGTGTCAAAGAAAATGAACGCAACTTTTGTCAAAATGTGGTCATGTGGCCACAATTACTTTAGAAGATTGAAGAACGGTTACTTCTGATTGGTATATAACCGTTTGTTTACTAGAACATATCGCCAAACTCCGAAAAAGCAACACACAGCGAATCATCCTACGTCAGGACAATGCAAGTGCGCACACTGCCCAAAAGACATTTGAGTTGTTGGTACTTCAAAACATCGAATTGTTAAACCATCCACCGCATATCCCCGACCTAAGTTCCAACGACTTCTTCACGTTCCCAAAGATCAAGAATTCAATGCGTGGGTAGCGATTCCGATCGTCAGAAGAAACCATCGATGCCTTTAAAACAACGATTTTGCATGTGTCAACTAAAGACTGGAATAACTGTTTTACCCATTGGTTTGAACGTTTGCAAAAGTGTATCGATCTTGGTGGGACATATTTTGAAAAACAATAAAGTCCTTTAAGTCTATATATTTTTTGTCTTTATGGTTATATGCAAAATTAAAAAGACAAGCCTCGCAGCTACTAACTCTTTGACATCTATCTTCTAACAGAATTACAGAATATTGTGACTTGATCGTCGTCGGGATTTTATCTTGGATGCTAAACAAACAATTTATATATACATCAATTTGTATACACTTTCTTACTGGCCTAATTATTGGCTAGGACCGGATAATTATTTATTATGTTTTTTAAAGTGCTCTGAAAAACACTCCCACAATATTTTATGTTAAAGCAAATGCCGTGTTCGAATGTATTGTTTGTTGGTGTTAAAACATTATTTTAGTCGGTATGTTCAATTTCTTTTTGGTAAATATTTTATAAATTTCTTGAAATGCTCAAATATTTTCAAAAAGTTATAGGTCTACATTTACAGATTATTAATCACTATTTGTGTTGCTAGAGTGGTTAATATAGTTATTGCTATAATTTCAGTGTTATTTTCTTTATGATTGTGTAGATATAGATGTGGCTGTATAGATAGTTTTTATTACTTGTTATTTATTATGATTTTGAGCACCCATAGATCAAATATCCACAATTGTCATGACCTTATGCTAATCTGTCACTATATATATATATATATATATATATATATATATATATATATATATATATATATATATATATATATATATTCTTTATTATCGCCAAAGATTTTAATGAACTCTAGAACGAACAATACGACCAAAATTTTAAATAAAGTATCCTAAACTGAATTAAGTACTTTTAAAAATGGTAAACAGATGTTGATTGGTTAACTTAAGCATTTATGGACTGATTCCATGTCTGGTTGTAGTATTAAGTCCTATATGTGTAAGAATATTAGCTTGAGAAACACAATATATGGGAATAGCTTTCTATTTAGCAACATTGACCTAATAAAACCTAAAAATGTGTTAAAAATAAAACGAAACTATTTTACCACCAGTATCAGTTATATTACAATAGGACTAATTAAAAACAATGATTTTATAACTTGTATTTACTGTTTTAGCACTCCTATGGATTCATACAATGTTGTGAACGTCAGGCCCGTTTGTTCTTTCACTTCAGCCAATTTAGTGGTAATATAGAGCATTTAAAAATTGGAGATCCTGTTGAATTTGAAATGACCTATGATAGACGTACTGGAAAACCAATTGCCAGTGCTGTTACTAAAATTGCTCCAGAGGTAGTAAGTAACACCATACTGTTGATGCATGTGAATTCTGTATGGCGTTTCAATATATAAATAAAACTCCGAAAATTATTGTTTTTTAAATATTTACAAAAATCAACAATTTCACTGACAAAGTATTTTCTCAAACGATCAAATTCGAAAGGTTATTATTTCTAAATTGTTGCTGAATAATCAATTGTTGAGGCGAAGTTCGCTATTAAGGTTTAGGCTTGTCAATTTAATAAGGGACAATGTTTCATGTGTGGGGTATATATCATGGAATGTTAAAAATATCTGTAACATAGCTGTTATTTTTGAGCTCGCGGGTGAATATTTAATTTTGTTTTTTAGAAGCCTCATATCGTCCCTATCATTTCGAACTATCGAATGTGAAAAATCGGGTTTTTCTGATTCGATACCTTGTCCTTGCATTAGACGTGATACACCTTGTAGTAAAATATCGAAATTGTAGCTTGATAAGGAACGCGAGAAATATTGTGTTTAAACTATGGGATATATGAACATTTTGTCATTTTGTTTTGGTCAAAATATCGAATATACTACAAATTGATGAAAATGAAATATTCCATACTTTTGTTTTGTATAAATATAACTAAATAAAGGCATATTTGTACAACGCAAAATAACGAATGTGTCACATTCATTAGTTTTAGTGTTGTAATTGATACAGTTATTCATTATAATAATTTGCACTGTCAAAAATACTAAACATTGCTGACAAGCACAAAACGTAGGTGTTCACAATTGTGTGAATTATTGCTTCCAAGAAGTTCTTGCAGTGAGGCACTCTATGAAGAAACTTTTCATGAAGACTAACATTGACGGAAGCTTTTTATCTATTGAAATCAAACAAAAAGAGGCAAACAAAAAAACATTATTTTTGATTTTATCCTACAACTTCAATTTCTAATTAAATAGTTTGTAATAAACATTGTAAGAACATTAAAATTATTTTAATTTGCCCCCTTTATAATTAAGGATATTAATGTGTTGAAATTAGACCAATATAAACTGTCAAAAATGCCACATTCGCAATTTTGAAACATTGGACCAAAACAAATCGTTGATTAACACAAAAAGCAAAGTAACGAATGTGAATTTTTTGGAAAGAAAATAACGGTAAGCAGTTTAATTTTATCCATCTAACAAGGATTAAACATTAAATATGAAAAATATAAAAAAAATCTATTTGTCAAGGCGCTGATTTAGGATTATCTAAAAAAGAGTTATCTTCCTCTCCTGGAAAGGTATCACTTCTCACATTCGATAGTTGGAAATGGTAGAGATGATATGCAGGGCCCAGGACACTTAAGTTCTGATGAAGCTGCCTTACTGTGCTGAAGGTTCGTCTGTAAGCCCCAGATTGGCTTACAGGTACTTCTTTGTACAGGCAAGGTACTTCTTTGTTTTTCGAGATTGAATTAATTTTCTAGAATATGAAAACCAGACCTTTCGACTGGCAAAGTTCGTTAATATAAACTAACCACGTTAGTTATAAATGTCGAATACAATATTTGTCTTTGTAGACCTTTCCACGGGACCAGAATGATATTTTTGTCTACTCTACATGTATGTCTAAAATATCTTGGCTTCTAAGAAAGTCTACAGATACGTTTGCCACCTGATTAGGTTCCAAAAAGACATATTCCGGGTATTTATGGAGTTGGTCAGTAATTACCCTACAGTTTTATTATGTTCGGCCGTTTCCTCTGCATTTTCGCAGAGATCAATCTCCATCCTATGTATCTACAACACAATTCCAGTCCTGGCCTCTTTCAGCGAACCTCTCCATTCGTTACAGTCTATAGATTGTCCTCCACGATCGACTGCCAAGGAAATTTCTTGCGTCCGCATTCACATCATCCTCCCATCGCTTTCTCCTAATAGGTCTCTTCCCCTACATTCTTGAATTCAAAAGTTTTTTTTCAAATCTGTGTTCTTCTTAAAAACATGGTCTGTCCATTAAACACGCTGTAGACGGACATATTGAGATTGAGAGAAAAGTAGTTCTTTATAAATATTATAATGTATATTTTATAATTGTATCTTATTCGCCACCTGTTCTAATTTATAAGGCCCCGTATTCGTCTCAGTACCGTTCTTGCGAAGATGTCAATGTGATTTACAGATTTTTGAGACGATATTGAAGTTTTACATCCATAGCTCACGATTTTTCCACTTTCCAGAAAGCATTGTTCACTTGTGATAAATTTTAGTTTTCTTCTGAAGCTCTAGCACTAAAATCTATTGTTAATAACTCTGCTTGAAATATATATTGTATATGGTATATCTAGGGGCATCGACAGTCTCGTGTTGGAGACCATCAATCCTTATTCCTAATTCATGTGTTTTAACAGATTACTATATAAGAGATTTTGGTTATGTGTTTGTTTGGAACTAACATTCGTATGTGTGGTGTCAAAATTTTTAATGCAGTCATAGTAACTGTAGACATCTTCATGGATTGCGTTGTTCTAATACTTAAAACCTTCAGATATTTTAGTCGCCGGGCTAAATATACTGTGTCCGTGTTTGTATATGGATACTTGTAGAGCGATCCTCCTTAGCTAGAGCTAAGCAAACCAGTCGTTGCACTTTTTAGAACTCTGTTGTGTGCAGCGCTTTGCTGTGTTGTTTGATTTTACCAAGCTTACGACATATATATATATATATATATATATATATATATATATATATATATATATATATATATATATAACGTGATTATTTCGACCAAAAAACAATTTATCAGTATGTTGGAAATATCGGGTATGTGGTCTATATTAAATAAAAATCTTTGTTTTTTTCTAAAACTCAATATTTCGCTATTTATTTAACAGCTTCATCAGGAGTAACTGTAAAAAACAAACATTTCAAAAAACTGACGTACACTTAGATTTACAATACTTACAGAACTTAAAAGATTTCACACATAAATAAACTAGATATTAAAATAAACATTTTTGATAATGTATAAGCTTGTTAAAATGTAAATATATATGAGCACGTTCGTTAATAGTAAGTAAATGAGATGGAAACAACTAAAAGTTATTTAAAATGCAAAAACTAACAATGTAAGAAAACATTAGAGGAATATTATTTCTTTAATTAATCATTAAGGCTAGTTAGTATGATTAATCATTAAGGTGAGTGAGTTTTAAATTTTGTTCAATATATTGCAATATATGTTGCTTAATTGCCCCGTGTCTGTTTTATAATTTAAAGTTTGTTTATTTTTGTTGATGTGGTACATCTCCAAAAATAACCTACTTTTGTAATTGTCAGTCTGTGCCAGAAAGGCACAGACTGACAATTATTGATATATTGACATTTGTTCTTATTACCTTTGTGTCTTTTAGACACAAAGGTAATAAGAACAAATGACAATATCTTGACATTGGATTGGTACCATATATTGGATTATTGATATATTGATATATTGACATTTGTTCTTATTACCTTTGTGTCTTTTAGACACAATCTTTTAGACACAACTCTAAAAGACACAAAGGTAATAAGAACAAATGACAATATCTTGACATTGGATTGGTACCAAAAGCCAACTGCATCGGGCAGGTATATGAATTACTTTTCAAACCACACCACTCGTCAAAAATATAATACAATATTGGGTATGAAAAATAGGGTAATGTCCATTGTTGATGATAATTTATTACAGAAAAATCTGGACATATTATACAAATTTTTTCGAAACAACGGCTATCCTAAACATATTTTAAAAAAAAACTCATTTACAGCAGTAATTTCTATGATGGTCATGTACTTGATTCCAACGATGAGTCAAATATAAAAAACTCCCCTTTATCAATGGTCTAACTCATTCAGTCATATCCATATTTAAAGATGTTTCCAATATATTAATATAGCTAAATACAATACCATAAATAGCAAACAACTTTTTTCCAAAATTAAAGATCCAGTACCAACCTTATATAGGAGTAATGTGGTATATGAAATACCGTGTCTAGGATGTGAAAAAAGCTACATTGGCCATACATCGCAGTGGCTAAAACAACGTATCACACAGCACAAAAGTGATTGCCGCTTGGGAAAAAATAGTTGTGCAGTAGTCGAACATTATAAAAACACCGGTCATCTGTTAGACTATAACAATGCTCGTATTCTGGCACAGACTGACAATTACAAAAGTAGGTTATTTTTGGAGATGTACCACATCAACAAAAATAAACAAACTTTAAATTATAAAACACACACCGGGCAATTAAGCAACATATATTGCAATATATTGAACAAAATTTAAAACTCACTCACCTTAATGATTAATCATACTAACTAGCCTTAATGATTAATTAAAGAAATAATATTCCTCTAATGTTTTCTTACATTGTTAGTTTTTGCATTTTAAATAACTTTTAGTGGTTTCCATCTCATTTACTTACTGTTAACGAACGTGCTCATATATATTTACATTTTAACAAGCTTATACATTATCAAAAATGTTTATTTTAATATCTAGTTTATTTATGTGTAAAATCTTTCAAGTTCTGTAAGTATTATAAATCTAAGTGTACGTCAGTTTTTTGAAATGTTTGTTTTTTACAGTTACTCCTGATGAAGCTGTTAAATAAATAGCGAAATATTGAGTTTTAGAAAAAACAAAGATTTTTACTGAATATAGACCACATACCCGATATTTCCAACATACTATATATATATATATATATATATATATATATATATATATATATATATATATATATTATTCTTGTTACTTTAATGGTTATAGTCTTGTTGCTTTAGTGGTTATAGTGTTGAGGTACGTATTTCTGTAAGTTTCCTATTGAATATAACTCAGAGATATTGAAAAGCTGAGGATCTGGACTCGGATATATCTCTCAGTATATCGGCGCAAATAATGCCACCTCTTCGAAATATTTAAATAGACAATACAAGTCATCTATTTTGTATTTGCCCGGTTGAAAGAAAAATTGTTCTTCAAGAAGAGGTAGCCT